GGAGCTTTAAAAAAGGTATGTTTTTTATTTTGCTTTTTGATAGCTTACCATAATACATGATAACGTATTAAATTCGGGCAAATAATTAAAAATACGGCGAAAAATGGTTTGCCCGAATTAACTCGGGCTAATATTTTTTGAAACATGGAATTATCTTGGGCAAATCACGTAAGTGGTTAACTCTTCTTTAAATTAATATTAATTTTTAGAGAAAAATATTGTGCTCACTTAAAATTTTAGTCAACATACTTTTCTCTATATGTTGTATAAAATACTGATTGTACTGAGACAGGTCTACAACTTAAACCAGTTTCACATATTAGAATTACTACAGCTTTTCTTATCCCCTCTGGAAAAGTTCCTGTTGTAATAGATAAATTATATATATATATATATAGATAGATACTAATCGTTCTGTGATATAATTTATAAACTCGTTTACTGAAATTCCATCATGTCCTGGACTTCGATTTTTTTAGACTCATAATTATAGTTCACACTTCCTCGTTACCCATAGGATGTTGTTGTTGTTTGAAGTTAAGCACAAAGCTGCACAATGGGCTAGCTGTGCTCTGCCCACCACTGGTATCGAAACCCGGTTTCTAGCGTTGTAAGTCCGCAGACATACCGCTGTGCCACTGGGGACTACACATACGAAATATATTCATTGAACTATTGTTTCTCTTTTAGTTAAATATTTTACAAGGTTCGTTATCATTTTGTTTTACAATGTTTTCTGCTATATTTATAAAATAGTTATTAAACTTATTTCCTGAATTATTAATTACTTCATTATCATTTCCTCTGTCACCATCTGCACAGTCAGGTGATATTATTTCTTCATTTTTTAATCAAATAGCCTATTATCTAAATTCCATTGTTTTTTATTTCTTTTTCAAATTTCGAAAAATAATTTTTATAATGTTAATTGTTTCTGTTCTTACTCATGGCTAGGTGGTTAGGGAGCTCGACTCACAAACTAAGGGTCTCGGGCTCAAATCCCCCTCCCCCCAAACATACGCGCCTTTTCAGCCGTGGGGGGGGGGCGTTATAATGTGACGGACAATCCCACAATTCGTTTGTAAAAAAAGTAGCCCAAGAATTGGCGGTGGGTGGTGATGACTAGCTGTCTTCCTTCTTGTCTTACACTCCTAAATTAGGGACGGATAGCGCAGATAGCCCTCGTG